AACCCCTTTTCTTCCTTTCTCCAAAATCCTCTCCTAACCTGGGTATGGCCTGTCATAGGACTTCTAACTATTATTTTAATAGCCTGCCTCTTTTTACCCTGCATTCTAAGCCTTTTAACCAGCTTTTACTTAGAAATTACCAGCTGTTGGCCACGGAGGACCCCTCTCACTCCTCTGCAGAACACCTGACACACTGAAGTCACCGATGGTGCTTGTTCCTAACCACCATAGCTGCAGATGCCTGGATGATCTCTCCCGCAACCTCTTACACCCACTGGACACAGCAGATGGCCGACTTATGGCTCCAAGGGACCTTCATGGATTTCTCCCCCCTTGAAATCACCCTATTTACAACTCTCCTTGGGGGTATAATAAAGGGCTTCCTTCTCCTCCCTGTTCCTCCCCTCTCAACGCCCCTCTCCAGCAGGAAGTAGCTCAAAGACCTCAAGGACCTTACCCCCCAATAGAGGAAAAAGGGAGGAATGTAGGGCCCTATAAAACCCCAAAGGAGACATTCCCTAAAACATGGTGCCTTTCTGGCTTCTCTTCCGGGTCGTAACATTCCCGCCGGTGCCAAAGTATGGCCTATCAAAATCATCACCCGCCCTTCCGACCAATCAGCCACCACCCTGCGTACTAACCACCCTCTCCTGGAACTCAGCTCTCTATAAATGTATGCTTCACCCTCAAATAAAGCGGAACTTCTCTGGTGAACTGTCAGCCCGGGTCCTGTCGTTCTTTCACCTCTGAGCTGCTGCTGGTCAGGGGAGTAGGTAGGGCAGGCCATGACAGGTGTTGGGGGAATGTGGCAGCTTGACCTACCTTTCTAGGGAGCAGGGGGCTTGGGTCGTCCGGGCAGGAATTACTGTGATCAATATCAGGGCCCAACGTCACACAGCAAGTTCCAGCCTCTGTCCAGGGGCTGGCAAGCCACCTGTTGGAATTGGTTCACCAGGAGGTAGCCAGGCATGGGCCCTAGGAGGCAGCATGAAGCACCTTGGATACTCCAGCAACCCCCACCCCTGGCCCTGGGACATGCACCAGGGGGCCTACAACCCCAAAACCCTGGGTGTGCTGGCCCCAGTGAGCAGGCACCCTTCCTGTCCTTGCCCCAGGTCCATGGGTCAGGCTACCCACGCCCACCCTACAATGGTGGCTGGAGCACTTTTGACACGAGGAAGGGTCACTTCAACACCTGGCCATGGCCAGGCCCTCTGTGCAGTGTGGTTCTCCTCTGGGAGGTATGTGCAGGACCATTCTACAGAGAGGACAGGTCTGTGGGGCAGAGCCCAGGTCTCTCCCCACACTCCATCATTGCAGCCCCCTGATGGGGCCTTTTGTATGCCAGTGTCACAGCTGCTGCAAGGGTGGATGCTGCCCTGTGTGCTGATGCCCGTGTTGCAGAACTGGAGACTGAGCTTCCAGACCCTGCCCACCCAGGCATCGGCTGGGCCAGCACTTGACCCCTGGGATGCTTGACCCCAGAGCCGTGCCCATACTCCTTTGCCAAAGCCAGAAGGCCAGTTCTTATGTGACCTTTGGCCAGTCATTTGACCTCTCTGGACCTCAGTGTCCTCCTCTATAAAATAGGGATAAAATGCCATCTTCTGTGGCTCTCAATCTGCAGGATGTCCTGCTCTGGCCTGGCATCATGGCACTGGCCTCCCAGAGTCAGGAAGATGGGGCCAACCATGGAAGGCTTCCTGGAAGAGGCAACCCAGAGCAGAGACCCAGTGACTGGTATGCTCCAGGCTCCAGGCTGGGGACTCTGGTCCTCTTTTCTGTTTTGCCCACATTGGGGGATTGTCCCGACCCACAGGATATTCAACACAGACCCTGGAGGGAGGAGTGGGAATTGGATGGGACAAGAGATACGAGAAATGGAGACAAGACAGTATTCTGATCAAGTCTCGTTTATTAGCCAGAAGGTCACAGCTTATATAGCCAGCAGGAGGGAATCAGCAGATAAGGAAGTATGCAGATGTTTTCTGGGAAAAGCCACAGGGCAAATCGTTCTGGGGAAATGGAACATTTCTCAGCTTTCTTTTTTTTTTTTTTGTCTTCTGTCTTTTTCCATGTCCGGCAACGGATCGCAACCCTCAGTGTTGCCCCCGTACCAGACCGGAGACTGGCAACGGGATTGCAACCCTCAGTGTTGCCCCCGTGCCTCGCTCAGCCAGTGAGTGGGAACCGGTCTGCATGTGGGATCCGAACCCTCGGGCGGGAGCGCCGCCGCGCTTCCCAAGCGGCGCACTTATCCAGTGCGCCACCGGGCCGGCCCCTCTCAGCTTTCTAAAGCAATGCAGTGGTGATCTACGCCTAGGGCTGTGCAAGCAGTAAGAAGGAGAAAAGGACAGAAAGGTCACAGCATTTATATCTTTAGTGCCAGAGGGCTATTGGTAGGGCTTCATGACCCTGGGCAGGCTATGACTGGGCTCTTTGGCCCCGGACAGGGGATGACATTTAGAGAGATCAGAGCAGAAGCCAACATCTAAGCCCAGAGCACAGCACCTGCCCTCTGAAAATGTGGATCTTGCTGTGGGCTGTAGCCTCCTCGAGAAGCCTCCATGGGATGAACGGATTGGTGCTAAATGTGTCCATACTGGAAATCAAAGCAAAGCCGGAAGTGACAATTTATACAACTTCTTCGACGTGATTGAAGGTACCCTGATGAGGAATAGATTTGGCTATTTTTATTTTTTGTAATGTGCAGAGTAAACAACCCCAAAGTTGTTTGTGTGCACTCAGAGAGTGAAAAGGCCAACAATGTCCTGGGGGCAGATGCTGGCAGCCAACATTCCTGATGCAGGGCCAGGTGGAAAAGGCAGTGGTGACAGGGGGGGAATGTTCATGGGAGCCTGCTGTATGCTCATCTAGTTGTACCTGATTGCAGCAGCTGCAGAAGTATGTCCAGAGAAGATAAATCTAATTCTATCAGACTTTCAGTAAGAATGGCTGTTCTGAGTTAAGGATGTTGGGTGCAGTATCAACAGTCAATTGAAAAACAGGGTGAATGATTTGATGTTGTTTTCCTCGGCTCTTGAATCGACACTTTACTGATGCTGCTCAGTTGCTGTTTATTCAAGGAGCTAATGCCTCAATGCCGAGCTGGAAGTGACTGAAGAATAAGCCTCTGCGCATAGTCTGCAGGGAACAACCACAGGAGAGAATATTCCCAAAGTTGAGAAAACTAACTCAGTAGACGCTGAAGAGGAATCTGTGTGTGGAGGAGGAAAGGGCTCAGGTGGGCATGTTTACAAAGCTTGTGGAAACGTGAAGTGTTTTTTTTTTTTTTTTTTTAAAGATGACCGGTAAGGGGATCTCAACCCTTGACTTGTTGTTGTCAGCACCACGCTCACCCAGTGAGCCAACTGGCCATCCCTATATAGGATCCGAACCTGGGGCCTTGGTGTTATCAGAACCGCACTCTCCCGAGTGAGCCACAGGCTGGCCTGAAACGTGAAGTATTTAAGGCCCTGGTTTTCCACTGCATTCCTCAGCGAGTACTCGGTGGGAAATACTTGCATCGCTCATGTGTTTATTGAACAAGCAGAGTCCACCGTGGTCTTCGTTTGATGCTGTGTGTACAACCACCACCAGTTTTCAGGATTTTTGTCAGAAGTGGAAATCGAGTAGCCTGACTTGCCCTGCCACAGAGCAGTTCAGTAGCTTAACAGTGGTGATGTTTAACTGTGATTTTTATTTTTTTTATAAAAAGATGACCAGTAAGGGGATCTTAACCCTTGACTTGGTGTTGTCAGCACCACGCTCACCCAGTGAGCTAACCGGCCATCCCTATATGGGATCTGAACCCATAGCCTTGGTGTTATCAGCACTACACTCTCCCGAGTGAGCCACAAGCCGGCCCTTCACTGTGATTTTTATTTATTTTTTATTTTTTTATTTTTTTTAAAAGATGACCGGTAAGGGGATCTTAACCCTTGACTTGGTGTTGTCAGCACCACTCTCACCCACTGAGCTAACCGGCCATCCCTATATAGGATCCGAACCCATGGCCTTGGTGTTATCAGCACCGCACTCTGCCAAGTGAGCCATGGGCTGGCCCTTCACTGTGATTTTTAAAATCAGGATCAGATTGACATTTTTTGGAACAAGAAGAACCTCCTTTATTCTGTATTATTGAACATTGAATGGCTTTGGAATTTAACTTTTTCTTCCAACTTGATAAAGTTTCTTAATGAACTCAGCCTGAAATCACAAGGCGGAACAGCACTTATATGCAAAATGTTCCATGTCATCATTTCAACAACAAATGTTATTTGAATCACAAGTAATGTGCTTTATGTATGTCCTGCACTGTCAAAGTTAAAGGAAGAGGTGAACTCTCCTTTCCCACACACTTCCGCCGTGGGAGTGTCTTTTGAGCTCAAACTGTAGTCCCCTGATGCAAGTGTAACGGCCATTTCCTCTTTTCAAAATCCGTGTAACTGTGTGCTTGAGGAGCTTCCACCTAACCCTGAATTGGAAGCTATCAATCTGCCACATAATGACATGTGAAAGGCAGATATCCAGAGAAGAATCCGACAATATTCTCTAAGTGCCTCCTGAGTGATGAATATGCCCAACTAAAACTGTGCTGTCATGGATTCTTATCAGTGCTTTGAGTTACCTATCTGCACAAAAAGACATTTTCAGAGATAAAATACTTAAACTCTTATTACAGATCAGCATTAACAGATTAATATTTGTGACTGATGGGGCCGGCCCGTGGCTCACTCGCGAGAGCGTGGTGCTGACAACACCAAGCCAAGGGTTCAGATCCCCTTACCGGTCATCTTTAAAAAAAAAAAAAAAAATTTGTGACTGATTTTGAAAACAATAACTGTAATCTCAATTAGGCTAAATGTTATCATCCCCTCAAATAATTCCATTCTTCTCATGAGTAGACCTGTATCACGAAAATTGTACTCAATTATATTTTGAATTTCATCAATAAGAAGTGTGGACATTTGTTTCCCACTTTGTTAAAAAAGTAGCTACATAATGTCCTCGATTTTGCCCCACAAGTCTTAAAATATTTACTATCTGGAACTTTACAGAAAATAATGCTCTCCTTGTTCTCACCATTAACATTTAATGTAATTATTAATATGATTGAATTTATTTCCCTAGGTATGATTTCTTTGTATTTATTCTGTTTAGAATTTGTTGAAATTCTTGAACCTATAAATTCATGTTTTGTACCCAATTTGGAGTTTTCAGGCCATTGTTTTTCAAATAGTTTTCTCTGTTCCATTCTCTTTCTCATCTTTTTTGGGGACTCTGTTACCTGTGTGTTCACCTTTTGATCTTACCCATAGATTGCTGAGTCTTTTCAGTTTTTCAATCTTGTGTCTCTTTCTTCTACAAATTGGATAATTTCTATTGATCTTTAGATTCACTGACTCTTTCTTCTGTCATCTCCATTTTGTTATTAAGCCCATCCAGTAATTATTTCACGTTTTACACTTTTATTTCTAAGGTTTCCTATTTTATAATCTTTTTATTTTTAAAAATTTTATAGAGATTTTAGGTTTACAGAGAAATTGAGCAGGAAGTCCAGATAGTCCCCATATCCTGCCCCCATACACATTTTTTCCTATATGGGATCTGAACCCATAGCCTTGGTGTTATCAGCACTGCACTCTCCTGAGGGTTCCTGTTACATTAGTGTGTACATTTGTTACAGTTATGAATCAAAATTGATATATTATTATTACTCAATTTTACATTAGGGTTCCCTCTTTGTGTTGTACAGTTCTATGAGCTTTACCAAATGCATAATGTCATGTGTTCAGCATTGCAGTATCATACAAAGGAGTTTCACTGCCATAAACATCCTCTGTGCTTTACCTGTTCATCCCTCTTCCTCTCCCTTCTCTCCTGAAACCCTGGCAACCACTGATTCTTTTTCCATTACCTCAAACATTTATTGTTTCTTTATGATGGGAACATTCAAAATCTTCTCTTCTAGCTAATTGAAAGTATACAATAAATTGTTAATTACAGTCACACTACAGTGCTATAGAATACTAGTCTAATTCCTCCTATCTAGCTGGTATTTTGTATCCATTAACAACCTCTCACTATTACCCCATCCCTCTTTCCAGCTTCTGGTGATTACCATTCTACTCTCTACTTCTATGAGATCAATTTTTATAGTTTTCACATATGAGTGGGAACATGGTATTTTTCTGTTCCTGGCTGACTTTGCTTAACACAATATCTTCCAAACTCATCCATGTTACTGTGAATGGCAGGATTTCATTATTTTCTATGCCTAAATAGTATTCCATTGTGTATATATACATTTTCTTTATCCATTCATCTCTTGATGGACACTTAGGTTGATTCCATATCTTGGCTGTTGTGAATAGTGCTGCAATGAACATGGGAGTGCAAATGTCTTTTTGATACACTGATTTCCTTCCCTTTGGATGAATACCCAGTATTTTGTTTTGTAGATCTTTTATGTGTATATATTTTTAATCTTAATTTCACTTATTTCTACTCTGGAGTTTGGATCCCCATACCAGCTAGCCACAAAAAACCAATTAATTAATTATTTCTGGTCTGATCTTTATTATTTCTTTCCTTTTACTGATTTTGGGTTTGGTTTGTTCTTGCATTAATAGTTCCTTGAAATGCATCATTAGGTTGTTTACTTGAAATCTTTCTACTTTTTTGATGTAGGCATTTTATTGTTATAAATGTTCCTCTTAGTACTGCTTTGGCTGTAT